GTCCTCCAAGTCCGCTGTCCGTGCTGGTGGTCTGTCTCTGTTGACTCTATGACGAGTGCGTCGCTCTTCTACCTCCAGGCGTCTCCATTTCTCCTCGACGAAGTGGACGATATCAACTTCCTTCCCGTTGCTAGATCTCCTCTTCCTTTCTCCTACTCTTTTCTTTTCTGAATTCCCTTCCTCTCCCCAGGCTCCTATCACCCATACAATTTAGAAACGTGTTCATCGTCTGCCAGAGGCTCCCGGAAGAGTCAGGTCAAGTAATCAAAGTGGTGCGCGAGGCGAGGCGCATGGCGAATACAATATGTAAATAACTCCTCTATCCGTTCCCGACTAGTGTTTCTCTGTCTCTTCATCCTGGATTCCTCATCCAGTCTTTGAAAAGAGGAATTACTTCCGCACACGGATTCGCCCCTCATCTCGCGCACTGCACTTTATTCCCCATTCTCTCTACCGTAGTGCTCAGCTAACGGTGCCGGATTGATCTCCCGCCTCTGGGTAACCTCGGCTGGGCGATCTAATGTGTCGCGATCGGGACTTCCACCGCGTACGACATGAACGAGCTTCGCTGCAGCGCTTTCTACCTTTCTTGCTCTCGGTCGAGAACAGCGCTCATTACTTTTTCTTCAACGCATATACTCATCATCTTTAACGAAGGTAAGTACGATCACAAGTATTTCCTTGCACGGTGACTTCAAATATGGTGCGCCGTCTTCTTTGGCGGGCTTCCCAGTGAACCGTCTCTAGACCCCTTACCCCGCGCGCGGATTCGAGTTTGACTCCGGGTGTGCGATGAATCATCTTAATTTCCCTGGCTCTCTCTCGTCAACCAGCAGCACTTTTCTTGCTTTGATCGGGGCCTCCTCCTTCGCATGCTAGTGATCCTCTTTAACTCCCCGGTTGTACTCCAGCCTAACTCGGCGCGCGGAATCCTTTGAATGGGGCGGAATATTCAACTTCTTCGGCTTGCGTGTTCCCTTCAGTTGTGCTTCAACATCTCGAGATCTCTTCTTTTCCTCCCGAGAATATTACTTCTTCCAGTCTTAGATCTGTGGCCCTCCTCCGAGTCGTTGTCGCCTTCCAGACATCCCATATTTATCGATGACGACGCTGGGGAACGCCGACTGGAAACGAAGTTCGTCAAATGCGAGTAAGAATGGATCATTAATATTCATGGTTCGCTCCATCTTGGTCGCCTAGATTCTCCTTCCTTCTGAATCCTTCGTCGTTTTTCTTTTACTTACATATCGTTTCTAGTTTTTCGGCCGAATCGCGTGTATCCGCTGCACAAGCCTGAGCCTAACATCCGTCACGGTTCCACCTCCCGCAGAAGTCTCCCGGCGCGGTGTTCCTCCCTACCTTAGTCCTCGAACAGCTACCTCTGATTCCGACGACGCCCCTAGCCCGATATCCCGCCCCGCCCCCGCGCCCCTGGTGCCAGTGCATTCCTGCTTTAGCACGTCGCAGGGACCCCACTAGCCACAAAAAGTACAAGAAAAGAAAGGCGAAGACGGCCCTCGACGCGCTCCGTCTCCGTTCCCATCAAAACGTAAGTTGATATTCTGTCGACAACAACAATAACAAGAAAGTTCCAATTGTCTATCTAGTACCTTCGCGCTACTACCCCTGGACAAAGTACCGTCCGTGACGCGGCAGATTCAAATCGGGGGCGCCTCAGACGTGGATCTCGCACTGTGCATTGTTCGAAGTTCACGTTCATGCTTCAATCCCGCGCCCGTCCATAAGTACGCCGTGCAGATGAGTGGGTGGGCCGAGGCGCTCGGTCTGTCGCTGGCACTGGCACAGGTATACAGGCATCCCTCCACCGCGACCATATACATCCTGCCACTGGTAATTAATCCCCGGCTCATCCCCGACTCACCGCTCACCGTCCGGAGGGGAAGGGAAGGGGCGCATTAATGCAGTTTCAGTTCTCGGAGATGAGTGCGATTGAACTGGGTCCAATTAAAGATAGGTGAGTAAGTAGCTTATTTTTATGCAAGCGTAAGTTCTTATTGTGTTGCAACTTGGATTCATGGGCATGGGATCCGCGTCGATGCGGCGCTGGTTCCGTTCCGTGGGCCGTGCGCCGTGAAATGATATTTTATTAGGAGGATGCTGATCCCAAAGCACGAATGCATGCATTGTGGCTGGTATAATCTCGGACTCGGACTCGGACTCGGAGAGGGATGTCTTGCAGGCCTAAGGAAAATAACGGATCTTCGGATTCGGACCTTCCGCGATACCTCAGAAGTTGGCCATGGAGTTACTTCGGTTACATGTAGTTGATACCTCCAACCGCTGATTTTCCTCCAGTGCTCCGCGAGATCCTTTCATTACATCACTCAGCTGGCAGCGTCCCCGCGGGGGCGCATAACGCCGCACGCGTCTTTTGTCTCGTCGTACGCGTTGATCCGTGCGGAATCGTTCAATCAATCCCGAATGGGGCGGGCCCTCCCTCGCCCTATTGTCACTGTGTCCCGCCAGTGGCAACGTGGGAGCGCGTTTATTGTGTTGTGAATTGCGGCGCGCTGCTGCCAGGCACGACGAAGCCTGCGCAATTGTACTTGAAACCTGCGTGCGCGCGTAATTGTATACAATTCCACTTGGCGGAGTAAGCGCAGAAGGGAGAACAATTGGGTGGGTGGTATAAAGGGTGGGTGGGGCGGGGGTTGGAGGATTCAGTTCGTGCTTTCGCTTTGAACTTCGCCCGCTGCGATACCCTCGTCCTCACCCTCATCCTCCTTGTCCTCCCTCATCCTCACCGCACCCGCACGCACATATCGCATTCAATGGACGCCTTCGCATCGATCGTATCGTACTTCGTCGCCGAGCACGTTGTCGAGGACCAGCCGGAGCTGCCGACCGTCGACGAGGACAAGTCGTCCGGCTCGAGCGGCTCGTGCGTCGTCGCCTGAGCTTCATTTACACCATATACATACGAGTGGACGACGACAGGCATGATCACGGTGCGTTTTCATCACCATCCACCCTTCCCCGCCGCGAACTTGATTCTGACGATGTGTTGTTGTTCAGTATACAACGCAGCATTATCATTTGTACAAACGCAACGCACACGCACACGCACACGACGACGACTCACGCGCACGCATCTTCATCGCTACCACGCTATCATAATTAGGCGGGCACTAGGGAATCGGGATCCATTGTCGGGCACTGAGGGGTTATCAGATATTTACATAAACGCCCTCCCGTACTAGTATACTTATATTCGTTCGATTTATTGGATTTTCAATTATTATTATTTCTTCGGGTACGTCGAGTGAGCGTTGTCGATGGCCAGAAGCGCGGCTGTGGTGGATGAAAGCAAGAGACAAAAAGACAATTGAGAATCACGTGCCCCGGAACGCTTATCTCAGCTTCCCGACTTCCTCCCGCCCACCGCCATGCTGTCGACTCGCGCCGTCGGCCTCGGCTCGCCCCTGCGCAAAGCCCTCTTCTCCCCGAGCCTCGGTTAGCCTCAATCCATCCCCGCAAGCTCCAGCATGACTCACTCACCCTCCCCGCCAGCGCGCAACCGGTCCCTCATCCGCACCACTCTCGCAAAACGGTGAGCCCTGCGAGGCCAACACGACGAGGAAAGCAGCGGCTGATACAGGTTACTATAAGTGCGGTGCAGACGGAATCCCTGCCCCCCTCCGCGTCGGTCGACATCCTCAACAAGCAGCGGCTGCTGCGCCCCTCGAGCCCGCATTTCACGATCTACCAGCCGCAGCTCACCTGGATCGCGTCCATCGCGAACCGCATCACGGGCTCTGCGCTTAGTACCCGTGCGTCCCCCTCCCCTTCCTCTCCCTCCTCGTCTTCGTCTCCTAATAAGCCATGACGTCCCCGCAGTCCTCTACGCCTTCTCCCTCGCCTACCTCCTCGCCCCCGGCACCTTCGACAGTGCGCACGTCATCGAATTCGTCGCGGGCCTCCCCGACGGCGTCAAGTACGCCGGCAAGGCCCTCCTCGCCGCGCCCTTCGCCTTCCACTCGCTCAACGGCGTCCGCCACCTGTCGTGGGATATGGGCAAATGTGCGTCGTCCTCCGAGTCATTCATTCATTCTATCTTCTCGTTCTCGTATTTTGGATTCCCTCCTCGTCTTTCTACCTCGTCTTTTGGACATCTTCTCTTTGGTATACCGGCCAACGCTGACGCTACGCCCCCAGTCATGAGCATCAAAGGCGTGTACACGACGGGCTACGCGGTCCTCGCCGGCACCGCCGTCGGGACCGCCGTTTTGGTCTTCCTGTAGCTGTAGTCCTCTGTTGTTACGCTGTCTCGAATTCGGACGCAAGCACAACTGTAGAATTTGGAAGGACGCGCAGTGTCAATTGTAGAGACCTTTAGCCGTCTGAACGCCGTCGACGATGCCTTGAATAACACCTCTGTCTTTCGACGCATGTTTCGCGCCCTTTGCCTTTAACTTGATGCGCGCTTGCTCGTCTCCTCCCCCCCTCCCCACTTCGTCCTCCTGAACTCGACTTGCCTGCCTCTCGGGCCCGCTCCCCGCATCTGTCCGTCCAGTCTCTTTCCGTCGACACTGGAACGTCCTCAAGCTCCCGATGAGTTGAGTCCGATTGAGTTATCCGCCGTAGCCGTTGCCGCACCCAATTGCAAATAAAAGATTCAGACGACGCAAAAGCACAGAGAGCGGTGCAAGCACCCGATCCCGGATCGAACGGGGAGCTTCTGCGCCTCATTTCAGTTTGGGTTCTACAAAGAGATGGCAGATGCACGCCATGTGCTACCGGGTGTTGCTACACCCTACCAATGACTGGATAAGTGTAGGTACTGTAAGGCCTTCGGAGGATGGAGTCGCAACCAGGACTCGGACTCAACTGCCGGGACATGCACATGGGACTCGGAAGAGGTGGGTTCAAGTTGGATGAATTTCAGCCTTGTAAAATCAAAAATCGGCTAGAGCTAATAGTAAATGGAATGGAGAATGAAAGAAAAAGGTAAAATGGAAAACTGCCTCGGAGGACGTTGAACACCCGACCCCGGATCGAACGGGGACCTTCTGCGACTTCATTTGATCAACTGGGCACTTTGTAAGGTCTGCAGATGCACACCATGTGCTACCGGGTGTTGCATCTTTTAAATGCTGGTATAAGTATAGCTATTGTAAGGCTTTCAGATAATAAGGTCTCAACCGGGACTCAGATTCAACTTTGGGACATGGGACTCGGAAGAGGTGGGTTCAAGTTGGATGAATTTCAGCCCTGTAAAATCAGAATCGCCTTGAGCTGCTAGTGAACTTGAACACCTAAAAATACGAGATCAAGTAAAGAATAACCACTAAAAATTTTACTAAAAAGTAAACAGAGACCATACATGTGGACCACCCGGCCCCGGATCGAACGGGAGACCTTCTGCTGACATCATTACTCAAGAAGCAACATAATCAATTTCAGCCCTGTAAAATCAAGATCCGCTTGCACTGTAGTCTGTACTATAGAATAGCTGAATATCAGAGCGAGCTGAAAAGATAAACAGTAAAAAGTAAAAAGTTGACGAATTCCAGGAACCACCTGACCCCGGGTCGAACAGGGACCTTCTGCGACTCTATCGGCTATTTTTGCGGTAGAGTTGGCAGATGCACGCCATCGTGCTATCGTGTGCTGCTTACCTTGCTAACGATGGGATTATAAGTGCTTCGCATCCTCCGACTGCGACTCGGACTCGCAGTCGGGAATTAACTTCCTACATTGCCGGAAGAGGTGGCCCGGCCTCCACTAGCATTATAACAGAGTCGGTCAAATCTGGCCATGGGCCTTGCGAAATCAACCGGCTGGAGCTGTACCTGATAATATTGACATGAGAGTACTTTTTAAAAAAGTAGTAAAAGGAATGAAAATTTAATCCTACAACCCGACCCCGGATCGAACGGGAGACCTTCTGCTCATTACAGTACTCGAGAAGCGACATAATCAGCAGATGCACACCATGTGCTACCAGGCTTCTCTTTTGCCCTTCAATGTTGGTATAAGTGTAGGTAGGGCTTTTGGACTTGTCAGACTCGGATGATTCAGGATTGAACAGGAAGGTGGCCCGGGATCCACTAGAATCGGTCGAATTTTAGCCCTGTAAAATTAAAATACCGGTAGGCTTGAAGTCTGTACTACAGAATAGCTAAATATGAGAGCGAGTGAAAAATAGACAGTAAAGATTAAAAAAGCCAACCAAATTGCTAATCACCCGACCCCGAATCGAACGGGAGACCTTCCGCTGAACTCAAATCCAATAAAGATAGTTTCTGCAGATGCACACCATGTGCTACCAGGCATCCATTATGTCCTCCATTATTGGTATAAGTATAGGCAGGGATTGCGGAAAGTGAAGTCTCAACCGGGGTCGGCCGGGAAGAGGTAGAGTTCAAGTTGGGTGAATTTCAGCCTTGTAAAACCAAAATCGCTGTGATCTGCTAGTGAACTTGAATGCCTGAATATCAGAGCTGAAAAGATAAACAGTAAAAAGTAAAAAGTTGACGAATTCCAGGAACCACCCGACCCCAGGTCGAACAGGGACCTTCTGCGACTCTATTGGCTGTTTCCGCGACAGAGTTGGCAGATGCACACCATGTGCTATCAGGTGCTGCTTACCTTGCTAACGATGGGATTATAAGTGCTTCGCATCCTCTGACTGCGACTTGGACTCGCAGTCGGGAATTAACTTCCTACATTGCCGGAAGAGGTGGCCCGGCCTCCACTAGTATTATAACAGAGTCGGTCAAATCTGGCCATGGGCCTTGCGAAATCAACCGGCTGGAGCTGTACCTGATAATATTGACATGAGAGTACTTTTAAAAAAAGTAGTAAAAGGAATGAAAATCTAATTCTACAACCCGACCCCGGATCGAACGGGAGACCTTCTGCTCATTACTCAAGAAGCGACATAATCAGCAGATGCACACCATGTGCTACCAGGCTTCTCTTATGTGCTTCAATGTTGGTATAAGTGTAGGTAGGGCTTTTGGACTTGTCAGACTCGGATGATTCAGGAAATGTGAAGAAGGTGGCCCGGGATCTACTGATATCGGTCGAATTTTAGCCCTGTAAAATTAAAATACCGGTAAGCTTGAAGTCTGTACTACAGAATAGCTAAATATGAGAGCGAGTGAAAAATAGACAGTAAAGATTAAAAAAGCCAACCAAATTGCTAATCACCCGACCCCGAATCGAACAGGGAACCTTCCGCTGAACTCAAATCCAACAAAGATAGTTTCTGCAGACACACACCATGTGCTACCAGGGCCTGCTATACCTTGCCAACGATGGGATTTATAAGTACACACATAGATAGGGCTTTTGGACTTGTCAGACTCGGATGATTTGGGAAACGTGAAGAAGGTGGCCCAGGATCCACTCGAATCGGTCGAACGAATTTGGCCATGGGCGCAGCAAAATCAAAATCACTGGCAGCTGAACCTTGTCTGTAGAACATAGAACATTTGAAAATACGAGAGTGAGTAAAAATAACCCTTGAACAATAAAAAGTAAAAGGCAACCCGGCTAATTCTTAAACACCCGACCCCGGATTGAACGGGAGACATTCTGCTGACTCTGTTATCGCAGCTGAGAGCCCATAATTAGCAGATGCACACCATGTGCTATCAGGTGTCTGTTACATCTGTGTGGAGGTGGAAAATATGGGCTTGGGCTGTTTGGTTGCCATCTTGTGGTGTTTGAGTTATGTTTAGTTGTATTGATAGCGGGAAGACGGTAAGTAAAATAAATGAATGGTTGTCCGACGACTTGCACGCTTCTCTCGTTGTTCTCGACACCATGCAAGTCCACTTGGCACTGGAATGATAGCAGCATGCAGTGGGAGCAATGTCTTAATAGAAAAGAACTTCTGAGCAACAAAAACAAAGTGACCACCTGACCCCGAATCCAACAGGGGACCTTCTGCTACAATTTTGGACAGTTGGGCACAATAATCAGCAGATGCACACCATGTGCTACCGGGCATCTTTTTATGTGCTTCAATGTTGGTATAAGGATAGGTCTGGAGGATGGAGTCTCAACTGGGACTTGGATTCAACTTCGGGACGTGGGAAGAGGTAGAGTTCAAGTTGGATGAATTTCAGCCCTGTAAAAGCTTGAGCTGTAATCTGTAGTCTGTACAATATAGGACATCTGGATATGAGAGCGAGGAAAGAATAGACAGTAAAAAATAAAAGGTTTTAGTCTAAAGCGTGAACACCCAACCCCGGATGGAACGGGAACCTTCTGCGAGAATAATCGGCAGATGCACACCATGTGCTATCGGGTGCTGCTTACCATGCTAACGATGGGATTATAAGTGCTTCGCATCCTCCGACTGCGACTCGGACTCGCAGTCGGGAATTAACTTCCTACATTGCCGGAAGAGGTGGCCCGGCCTCCACTAGCATTATAACAGAGTCGGTCAAATCTGGCCATGGGCCTTGCGAAATCAACCGGCTGGAGCTGTACCTGATAATATTGACATGAGAGTACTTTTTAAAAAAGTAGTAAAAGGAATGAAAATATAATCCTACAACCCGACCCCGGATCGAACAGCAGACCTTCTGCTCATTACTCAAGAAGCGACATAATCAGCAGATGCACACCATGTGCTATCAGGCATCTGTTATGCCCTTCAATGTTGGTATAAGTGTAGGTATGGCTTTTGGACTGATACAGTCAGACTCGGAGGATTTGGGAAATGTGAAGAAGGTGGCCCGGCCTCCACTCGAAACGGTCGAGTTGGGGCTCTGGGAAACCACAACCAAAATTGGCTTGAGCGGTATTACAATGTAGTCTGTAAAATGGAAATGCAAGTGATTAAAAAAATTTCGGAAGTTCGACTGGCCACCACCCGACCCCGGATCGAACAGGAGACCTTCTGCTGACGTTATTTCTAAGAGGCGGAATAATTGGCAGATGCACACCATGTGCTATCGGGTGTCTGCCATGTCTGTGTAGAGGTGGGAAATATGGGGCTGGGCTGGCACCCGTGTGGTGTTTAATTTGAGTTACAGTGGTTGCATTGACTCAGATAGTGGGAACATGGTAAGTAAAATGAACGGCTGTCCAATGACTTGCAAATCATTCTCCTCTCATTTTTCTCGACTGCACTAGTCCACTGGGACAATAGTAGCAGCATGGAAGGGATGTTTTACCAAAAAAGAACTTGAGCAGAAAAAATTGACCACCCGACCCCGGATCGAATGGGGACCTTTCTGTATCTCACTTGAGTTTAGGCTTTGCAGAGAGATGGCAGATGCACACCATGTGCTATCAGGTGTTGCCACACCCTACAAATGCTGGGGTTGTAAGTGCATACATAGGCCGTTTGGACTTGAACAGTCAGACTGAGATGATTCGGGAAACGAAGAGGCCGGCCTCCACTGGCATGGGCTCTGCAAAATTTGATAAAATAAGCTTGAGCCATTGAGAATATTGACAGTGAAGCAAAGAATAACCACAAAACAGTAAAAAATAGAACATAGACGAGATCACGGACCACCCGACCCCGGATCGAACGGGACCTTCTGCAACACACGTACCTTGCTTTCACAGATGGCAGATGCACACAATATGCTACCGGGTGTTGCAACATCTTTTCAATACTGGGTTATAACTTTTATAAGTGCATACATATTAGGCCTTTGGGACTTGTCAAACTCGGATGATTCGGGATTAAACGGGAAGAGGTGGATCCTCCCGCATTATGATGGAGTTAATCGGATTTGGCCATGGACGCTGCGAAATGAAAACCGACTTGAGCTGTATTACCTGAGAATACTACTTTAAAAAAAGAAAGAAAGACAAAGTAGTAAAAGGAAAATGTAAATGTACCACCCGACCCCGAATCGAACAGGGACCTTCTGCAACTCTATTGGCTATTTCTGCGGCAGAGTTGGCAGATGCACATAATGTACTACCAGGTGTCTGCTATGTCCGTGTGGAGGTGGGGAATATGGGCCGGTGGCCATCTTGTTGTGAGTTATGGTTGCATTGCACCATATCAATCAATATTGATTGCCTAACTGATGCCGATACATCGGATGACTGATCTATCATACCGGCATCGGCGACCCATCAGATGCCGAACATTCAACC